GGGGGGGGGGGGGGGTATATGTATTCAGTATATGTATCCGTGTGTGTACATATACATACTAAAATTATCTTTAAAATCCAGTGATTGATAGATAGCCCATGTCGAAGGTTATCTTATCATCAAAATAGTTACTTATTGAAATAGAAAAGCAACCTACAGTGGTATTTATTGATTATTTGCTTCAGGAAGTTATCCTCGTGGACATCTTTAACATCAGCGAGATGAGCATGGTACGAGTTGCACGTGGTCTGTAAAGTAAAACATATTCGTTAAGTGGACGAAATCATTATCTGCATGATGGAACATGGATTGTATAAAATATATAAAAAAAAATATATCTATCTTTCATTCATTATATCTTACCTACAGCAGAAATACATAAATTAAAGGTGAGTTCTTGGACATATTGCGGCACCATAACAAATTCATCATATAATGAGGCGTATTTCAGGATATTCAAGTATTTGTGTAGATTCTTTTAATTACCGATGCAGCTAGCCAAGGCTCCTTTATGTCGAATATAAAATAGCAAGATCCATCAAATGTTTCCCAGCCGTTCGGACATCCTCGGATCACTGAAAAGCAATCAATCTCCAGCTATATCGATACATGTACCATGATATCTAGATGTATGATGCTGTTGATTTAATGTGCATTATTTAAACTATTGCCACTTGGATCCAGAAAACCAATTTAATGTATCGGATATTAGACACCACCGAAGCACAATTTGGGAAATCTTAAAATATGAATGGTGTAGAAAAATGTTCATATCACACATTTTAATTTGCACGAAAACTTAAAATCAATATTTTTAAGAAATAAGTAATCAACAGCACAGAGTAGAGTTGTGTATTTGCTACAATCATGGTTCTCGGCATTGGAAATACACCGTATAATATATCATTATGTCACATTTACATTCGAATAAAAGATGGAAAGTCTTTATAAAACTTTAAGATGAATGGATATGATACAGTTAATACGAGCCTTACCTTGTACAGCCAGGGCAATACAAATAAGAACTGGCCGTACTAAGTACGCCATTGTTGATTTTAAGTCGTAAGTGTATGCTACAAAACAAAATATCCTTAATGCTGTGTTGCCAAACCAAAAGTGAACGGCTTATCTCTCAACAATTTTTACCTTATCTAGTTCAAGGGAAATGACGTTGGTTTCCTAAACGTCCAAAATAACTATTCGTAATAAGTGTAGGCTAGATGCAATTAAGGAGGCACCACCCTTTCGCAAATTAACCAGCGGAATTCGGTGAAACTTTCACATAATGATTATGCAATTATATAGAGGTGATTTCAAGAAAATATAAGCATTCCGATAGACTTTGGATTTTTTTGAAAAAAAAGGAAAAAAAAGAAGAGTTTTCGTCAATTTTAATATTTTCCTTTCTTTTTTTGGTATGTGGAACAATAACAACAACAAAACAATGAAAAGAAGCATTGCTAAATAACTCTACAAATATGCTATTTCACAAAATATATAAAACCATTACACAAAGAGTTTCTTATTGAAATTGTATAGATAAAAGTAATTATCTACAAGCTACAAGCAAAAATGTCAAGTTTTATACAAAAATAATGGAAAATTTAACAAAAGATATTCAATGGTTTTATAATTAATTAATATTACATTTAACAATAATTTTGATCATGGTGAGGGTTGTCTTCCTTGAAAAAAAATCGAAACTTTTTGTAGAGGGTTTAAATTTACACATGACAATTATCTCGTGACAAAAATATGGAAATAAATTGAAATTGTGATATCAAAGAGACAATTTATTACTCTTTTTTCAAACCAAATTACTCTCGATCATGTATACTTTGGACATCATTCCACAGCCCACTAGCGCATGATATATTTACATGTCAAGTACATATATAATTATGTTACCAGAGGCTATCGTTCTCACGTGCACCCACACATGCATTTTCATCGGGATGAGAATATATTTACAAAACACTATTCTAACAGAGTCAGTGTACTGCATTAGCGTAACTCGCTCGACAGCGAAAATCGTAACGACCTCGAGCTTGTTAACTGGTATAAACACGTGATAAGCCCCATGTGAGGTCGGGACACAAAACACATCATTCCGCATTCCATGCGCTTCATATATGACCTTCTTGAAGTCGTCTAGTGTCATGTCATTGTCTTCCCGGGAGACAGTTTATGTCTTTGTATAGGAATCTTTGTTTCTGAAGTTCGTGTGATTACACATTTCCCGGTTAAGTCTCGATATTGGGTGTTGACATATCGTCACGCACATGTGCTATTGTTTACCATGTGTTACTCTAATTTACACTACGTAGGGTATTGAAATGCCCCATACACAATACGGAAATGACGACTCAAAAATACAACAAGAAAAACATGTGTATTACGAAGCGTGGGAAGTCCTTAACTCGTATTAGGTATAATTATACTTCATGAATATAAACACGTATATAATTTGATTATATTCATCACGTGACGGGAAATAATGTATCCTGCTCTCAAATGTCTCCTATCATGTTTCTCTCATTCAAAGCTTTTCCAGGAAAATTAGTAACGGACACTATACCTGAGTTCCGAGTGACTGAAGCAGACGACACCAATGGCGCGAAGATGCAATAACTAAATCGTGATAATCAAGTCTTCCTGTTTCGGTCATCCTTAATACTACAGGGGTTACACTCACGTCCGATCGCTACACCCCTGGGATAATTCATAGAAAAGTTGAGGGCACACGACTAGCTAATATGTTTGGTCTCGGGTAAAAACAAAACCCTGACCAATCGCCAGGGTGATATCTGTCTTAAGAAGATTGGAGAAAAGCGACACCCGACTTCAAAGCCAGCCAATTTTACGATTACTCGACCTAGCTTAGACTTAAACTATATTTGTATTCCAGAGTTAAAGAGAGCGAAAGCGGACGTAACCTCTGGATTATAGAGGAAATGTTTCGGTATCAAAATGTATTTAATGCCCTTGGGGAAACATGTTTCTTTATTTACCCTCGATCATGCATGCTTCACGAGGTCTCCGCCCTTATGGAACCTGATTATGTTGGGAACACAAAAAGATATGTTTCCCTACGAAGAGACGATTAATGTAAAGTGTAAACTGTCCAACAAAAGGACAAATCGTCAGAGCTATATGAAAGACCCGTTTTCTACTGTATAAGTACTTTTTAAAGGGAAAAATATCAAGTCTTGTCCATATTTTCCCAAGTTTTTAAGCTTTTTAATTCACATTTACGGCTTTGTTAACCTATCATCCCGATGTACTCATTGTAACGCGTCTACAAAACAGTTGAATCGTTAGGATTGTTGTGAGGATGCTGTTTTAATTTGTTACATAGCATTTTGCTGAATTAAATGTGATATCATGCCAGATGTTGGAATGATAATTTGGTGTTTTATATCACAACACAAACTAATAAAGTGATGCATCCATGTATTATTATAGTCATACCATAGTATATTAACTACTTCTGTGAGGTGTTAAGAGGTTTATTATCACTGATAACCCAGTTAACATTGCTGTAGTGTCGTCATTATGAAAAAGGGCTAACCTGCACAAGCATATGTATAGTATCGAAAAATTATAAAGTGTCTTACAAAATCAAATAATCATGTCATATTTATTTCAAAATAATAAAAATATTATCATCACGGTAAAAGAGAAAAGACGCTGTAAACATTTTCAGCCGATGACGATTGCTCCGGAACCACCACTAAAATTAGAATCGTTCAGAGTATGATTTATTTTAATTTTTCGAGCTTATCAATGCAGTTTGTAAAAAGTATTTATTTTTTAAATAACATAAATCAATTGGGCAGATCCAGAATAACAACAATTCAACGTTGCTGAAATGGCTCAATATACCTTCCTCTTCACTATGAAGCTAACGATGGAGAAATGCAGTATTTGGATACAAAGGGGATAATAAGTAGGTCTGTCGTAAAATATGACACTCTTCAATGTCATAATGAAAACTATTATTCGCCATAATGTATTCACAACGCTTTACTTTGTATAAAACTGCAATATAATCATTCTCTAATCAAAACTGATGACGCACCTCATTAGTTTTATCCTTAATCAATCAGTATTGGTTCTATCATTGCATTAAACTTTGGCAGAGAAAAGTAGTTAATGATGGGGGAAAAACAAGTAAATTTGCAGTGAAATGGATAATGTAACACATGTACTAGCATAACTTACAGTCAAGGATAGATATGCGATAAGTGTGTCCTCTCATGTCAAGGATTGAATGAGACCCTTGTGCGATGACATTGTTAGCCAAAACATCCTGATGTTAAATATCTTCTAGAATAAATAATACATCCTGATTTTTACTTGGAACGTACCCGATCTCACAAATGAAATTATGTTTTTCTGTACACCTTCGGTCATCCCAGTGATACTGATGCTGGCTGATGTGTACTACCATACAATCTTCCCCGAGTCTGTTGGAATCGTTTGGCTCGTCTGGATACCAATCTGTATAAGTAAGACGTTGGTCACTGTTCATCCATCGCCAGTCTCCCTCCACAAACACGTCGGTTGCCCCCAACCAATAGTCGTAATCATGTGAGTGTCCATCTGGAGAAGTCGTGAAGATCGAATGAAGTCGTTTTGTGTAAATATTCCGTTTAAGTGTAGAATGTTTCTACAATCTTTTAAACACGTGCATTATTAGCACCTTTTGTTTTAACCTACATTCTAATTTATTGAAACTGATTTCGTTAACCGACAATACTATTTTTAAGACATCTATACATCATCTCTTTTCACTTGAGCTTTACACAATATTTTAGATAAATTGTATTCCCAACCTTGCTCGTATTCGGTTTTTTAATTATTTATTTCAGTGGTCGCCTTATTATTCTGTCCCTCAAGACACAAACAAACAAACAAACAAACGTGGTTATGCTTGATAATAATTGGTTAGATTCATATCTAATTTATATTATATATCTATATTTTCTAAATAAATTTCCAAAGTTAAAATGTTGTATCAATAACATTACTCTTTGTATATAATTGCGGGATCAAAACAGACATATGTATATAAAAAAAATTAAATAACAATGACCAGGGTACAGCTCAGGGTACCAGCACAGAAAGACATAGAGATGACACAGAGATCAGGGTACCAGCTCAGAAAGACATAGAGATGACACAGAGATCAGGGTACCAGCTCAGAGAGACACAGAGATGACACAGATATCAGGGTATCAGTTCAGAGAGACACAGAGATGACACAGAGATCAGGGCACCAGTTCAGAGAGACAAAGAGATGACAGCTCGGGGAGATAGAGATGACACAGAGATCAGGGTCACAGCGTAGAGAGACAAAGAGATGACACAGAGATCTGGGTCCCAGCGTAGAGACAAAGAGATGACACAGAGATCAGGGTCACAGCGAAGAGAGACGAAGAGATGACACAGAGATCAGGGTCACAGCGTAGAGAGACAAAGAGATGACACAGAGATCAGGGTCCCAGCGAAGAGAGACAGAGAGATGACACAGAGATCAGGGTCACAGCGTAGAGAGACAAAGAGATAACAGAGGCGTCAATGATCGATTCAAAGTCTATAAAAACTTGTATAAACATCAAACACTTCAACCTACCATGGTATTTGGATACTATTTGTTTTAGGAAATTTTCCTCATTTGTGTCTTCTATTTCAGCTAGATGAGCATGATACAATCCACATGTGGTCTGTAAGTTATCAATACAATTGTGCATTATCATTAACATCAAATCGAATCATGTAATAAAGTCAGTTTTTTTATATCCTACTTAAAATCAGCATGCAGGCAAATTTAACTTTCATGAAAATATTTTTCATCATCTCAACGTCAGAAATTACTTGAATTACAACATTTAAATTCTACCAAACAATATTCAACAAAAGGGTCTGTCGAATGTTTGAACAACTTTGAAATACTGTAATATCTTGGCTGAATTCAGCTTCATAGAAAAAACAAAGACACAAATAATGGTACAGTAAGAGTCAATTAGAATACTGATAATCTGTTGACACATAAGATAGTATGCGGACAATATCATATCTGGTGTTTCATTTCTTGCCAGCAATTTGGTATTTTACAAAAACTAAATCTTACCTTCATTAAAAACAAGATATGCATCGACGGTTTTATCAGTTTTAAGAGAACATACAAATATTATATTGAATGATTTCATTTGTTAAACAGTATATTGTGAATATATGTATTTGACTAAAATAAACATGTAGTAGTAATTAACTTTGTAATGGAAAATTTACCGATGCCGTAGGCCAATCTTCCAACAAGTCTGACACAAAATAGCAGGATCCATCAAACGTTTCCCATCCATTCGGACATCCTCGGATCACTGAAGATCAATTAAGAATATCTTCGATATTTTCTTTTTTTATACGACATATATAAATAAAGCCAAATGATACATACAACTTAACTGTGAATCGAATTCATTTTCGATACGCTGCTTTCAAAAGAGAAGAAAAGAGTTGGAAATTGCTATAAGTACATTCTTATTACATTTTTTAATTGAAAGAGTGTATTAGAAAAAAAGGAACAATAGCATCACACGTTATCATCGATACGTAAAATCGTGAACAACTTATGTAAACCTTGAACAAACAGGAAAGTACCATGTATAACAGTTATGAACATGTAACAAGATATAGTTAAAGAACGTTTTTGGTTTAAACGACCTGATAAGGAATTAAGAATTAGTTAAACACATATTTTACCTTGTACAACCAGGGCTGCACACACACAAAGTAATCGCACCATGTGTAACATTGGCGATCTTGACATTTAGTAGAATTGTGATTGTATGTCACAAAGACGTCGACAGGAACAGATAGATGATAGCTTATCTCACAAAATTGAGTCGACCTTGCTGATTAAGTTCACAGACACGATAACCCCATACATTCTGTCAACAATATAGACGTTTAGTTACGTCCTTAGTGTTATAATGTTATAACTAATAGAAGCTATGTTATGTGAGTTAGAAACTTGGCAAAAGGACATGCATTTCTGATGTTTTTATTTTCATACTGGTTTGCATGCCCTTTATTAAGTCTCCTCGCCCGCTCATTCTTCTAACATATACTATAATGGCATGTATGGTGATTGTATAATTCTCCTTATGTACTAACGAAAAATACTCTGCTCTATCATACATGTAACACATATTAATACATACTTCAGTAAGTTATTCATTTTGCTAATTTTCATACAGTTTTGATATTTTTTCATTTATATCAGGTTCATGTCATATTCTGATGGCATAACCCAAAAGTATGCATATACAAAAAATGAAACGTATCGATGGTAGCCACCGGAAGGCCCGAATTGGCACCCATCCTTTTAAGAAAGATTTAATTTTTCGACATGATATAAACATATGCTCATTATTATCTACAACATTACAGAAGCCGCACATTGATGTTTTTGCTCTCTATTACTATCTCTAAATTAGTTAAGCTTATTTTCTTCCATCTTTTAAAGATGAAGTTTGATATGTAGGTTATAAGTTCTGTATTTTCAAATGGTAATGTTCTCTCCTATAGGCTAAAGCGGATGTTCTCTCCTATAGGCTAAAGAGGATGTTCTCTCCCATAGGCTAAAGAGGATTTTCTCTCCCATAGGCTAAAGAGGATTTTTCAAATCTGTTGTTGACAAGCAGGCTGTATACGAGTTTATTTGTTTAGTTTGGTTAAACATGTTTACATTTTACTGTGATCTGTCGGTCTTGTGCTATTTTTGTATTTCCTTTACTATTGTATTTAATACATTGAAACCAAGATTTTGGAATGGCTATTTTAATAATTGATATTCCTGAAATTCAATTACCTTTGTTTTACAGTTAATTTATTATGAATTGACTTTACAGTATTTCCCCATCAAATCTAAGATACTGTATAGATCTGCAAAATTAATGTGACCAACAGCCGTTGTCAGATTAATTTTGCAGATTTATACAGTATCTTAGCCATTTCATCTACTTATTCTTCCTGCACTCACTTATTTCATAATTACATGCATTATTCCTGCAAACCGAAAGAGGCGACTAAGTTTGGACCCCTTGCTGTGACTGTTAGATCCACCGCAGAATTGAGAGGCGACTAATGAGACATTCCGTAGGAAATTTGGATTTTTCACATTTACCGGGCCAGATTCCCACATGCACATGTTCCGCGTTTTTGATATCTCGTCCCTTCTTTCTGGTGCTTATCTCTCGTTGACTCACTTTATGTGATAGTGCATCTTGCGCAAGAATAGGTCCTGTACATCAGCGTTCCTTGTCCGCGATGCTCTCAGCTTAATTGCTGCCTTCGGCTGTCTTTAGCCGAGGGGACTATTGGTTGTATATAATAACTATATTTTCAATTATGGTATATCAGTTCTATCTTCTTGTAATATGATGTATATGTACATGTTACTGTTCTGTTTCACTGTGTCTTGATAAAGGAGCGGATCGCTCCGAAAATTTGACAACCTAAACTTGTCAACACTGTTTGAATTACTTCTTTGCCCCATATACTATTTTAAGTAATTCGTATCCTACGGACATAACTCCATTAGAATCCAGTGTTATATGGGATTTTACCGTCTATATTACTTCTTTGACCCACGTCTCTGATTGTAGGTAAAGGCTGTACTCTTACCTTTGTTTCACAACTTTTTTCGGATTGAAGGAGTCCAGATGTTGGCAATGTTATTTTTTTGTTTAAAAAGGTTCGAAGACGGGTGAAAAATGAGAAATGAAAGAAAATGTAAGAGAAAAAAAGCATGGGTCCTAAATGTTGGAAAAGATCAACTTTGGTCTCTTCCGTGTCGTTTTAGTTGAAGACACCGATGGAAACTCCCGATTCTTCAGGAGATCCACACCAACCGCCTCCTATCATACACATGTAGTGGGGTACAGCATCATCCGAGGTCTATCTAATATCCACATAGCAGTAAACTACTACGCTCGATTCTACAAAAGGAAATGGGGAAAGGGGAGGGCTAGAGGTAAGAGAAAGGTTACGGAGGGGGTGGGGATTCTAGAACTGATCATTAGCATGCAATGAGTGCAGTATTTACTAGAAAGACAGCTTAATCAATTTCTTCTAATTTATTGTGCAAATATTCTTTTTGTGATAATTCATGGGAAAAACGGCACTTCCAACAACGCTCAACTGATCAGCAATTGTGAAAACAATACATATATATACCAAACTAAATCAAAACACATTTACAATTCTCATTTTGTAACACCAACCATTTCATACGGGTTATGCTTTGCATAGATGATCAAGGCAAATTTCAAGTGCTTTTGTGTATTTTATGCCATAAAATACAACAAAAAAGAAAATATGCAAGATTTATATCTGTGTGCATGTCATGGTCAGCCGGTAGTTAGACAATCCGAGACAAAGCTGTTATATTTAGCCTCACCCGATCAGCTGTTTGGTGGTCAGTGTACGCCCCGGAACTACACAGCCTTGAACAGGGCATTATTATGTATGCGATAATGTAAGCAATGCAACCTCTACAGCGACAGGGAAAACATCTTCTAAATCAAGAGAGGCTGACAAAATCTGTTTGCTTGTTTATTTATGACATAACAAAATAAAACACTAACATAAAACTCTCCTTAACCTTCCACTGCTACTGTCTGTTCCGCCTTCCCCTGAACGGTTTATTAGGGATTAGTTCAAAACATAATTAACATTATTTCACAAACCTACCACATTTTACTCGGTCACGGAATCGTACAAGACATAAAATCAATGCTGAACCGATGCATAGAACACATCTGTATCATTATAATGATATTGTATTGCCATTTCATTTGTTTTGCACCACGAATTTGACCTAAGGATATGATTGTTTATATGATTGCAACATATCCTACAGTCATGGTCAACACTATTCTTTTGAAAGTGTGCTCAAGATCTGAACATACGGTACATAATTACAGCCTGGATACCCATTTAGCTGTCAACATTCCATGACCTTGACTTTGGAGAGACGACATCGGGTCAAGGTCGCAACACATCCAAAGGATTATAAGCAACAATATAGTGAAGAGCAACCAAGACCAACCAACCGTTACAATATTTGGCTTTATGAATGAACAGCACTATACCTTTACGTGTCCTTCATAAAAACGGACAAATACACACTCCAGAAACGCTTATCAAAATGGAACTGTTTAATAAATAACTACATCATAACTATTTCCTACTGCAGTTTCCTCTTACATTATTAGTTAAGATGTTGTGCAAGGTTTTACAAATGCAATTATTATTTTTTTGATTTCCTACAATAAGTCACAATGTAGCACATAGTAAAATGATGTATATTTGTTCATATTCCTTTGAATATTCTTCAAGTGATCATAAAACAATGTTCCATGAAATGTTAAATTGAGAGTAGGCTGTTTTTCTATTACATATATATATAGACATGAGTTTGTATAGAATGCAATGATAAAGAATGACAAAACGTTTACTACATGTAACATATACAATGAGATCTTGTCGGTAGGAGCAGTCCCCCACTCACTCCCTCATTTGTAATAGTATGGCAAGTCAAGAAGAAATTTGCTCTAAAATAGGCTACAGTTAAAATATCTGAGTATATTGTCTATTCCTGGGCAAGTCAAGAAGATATTTGCTCTAAAATAGTCTACAGTTAAAAAATCTGAGTATATTGTCTATTCCTGGGCAAGTCAAGAAGATATTTGCTCTTATACCTCTTATAACAAAATCATAGGCTACAGCTAAACAATCGGAATACACTGTCTATTCCTGGCTGCATCTTTCTGTGTTATACACTGGAAGTGCCACTAATCAAGTACTTCACACATGACAAGTTCCCCTACGCACAATGGTCATTGGGAAATCAATCAGGGTGTCTAATTCAAGAAAAAGAATAAACCAGGCTATTAAATATTAACGATGAAAGTGATCATATCATAGGCTCTGTTATAACTGAAACAACAAAGTCCAATCAATCAATTAATCAATCAGGTCTTACCAGGTGTGGACATGTCCCCTGGTTATATTATGGTTAAATATGGTTACACTTATTATATGGGAAGTACCTATGTACAACATATGATTAACTATACTACAGTGACATTACACACGAAAATGGACATGGGGTATTTTATCATGTCTATTTATCCCTCCCACTATCCAAGCCCCTCCTACTTTCTAATATCCAAGTTTTAATCCAACAGGTGGTGTGATGGCAAATTCCAGACTCAGTAAATGTTTTTGTTCACAATTGTATCAGATTTTATAACATGAAGTTTTTATATTTTACCACTCGGCAAACATAACAAAAACAACATTTGGCCAATGGACACTGTAATACCAGATACATGTCTCAATAATGCCTACTATCTGTTCTGTAAAACACATGACATATTTAAAAAGAATTGAAATGACAGTTATATTTCATCTCAGGAATGACCACCTCTACACATTGTTAACCAGTGTACAATGTTGTCTGTATGTAAATAGACTATAACACATGTTATTTATGTTAACCTTTTTATGTCACTAGTGACATGTCAAACTGTTTGTATGTCACTATAGCTGCATACCCCTATTTAGATATTTAATTCAAACATTTTTCTATGGTAAAATTTTATGTCTTTTATGGTTTTTATTGTTTTTAATTATTTGAGGCAAACTCATATTTTGCATAACAAATATGATACACTTTGTCTCAACATGTCTCTCTCTCTCTTCTGAAGGAACAGTTTGTATTTGTGGAAATTCAACAAACATTAAACTTTAAACTTATGTTATATTGTACATCACAAGTGTTGGATTTATTTATCTTACCACACAGTAAAAAACAGCACAGCGTCATAACTCGGAATTCTTTTTTGTGTGATAAACTTTTAAGATGTGAAGTTAAAGGAAGCAGAGATGATAAAGATATTTTAGACTTAATAGGTCATACCGTATGTCTGTTGGCCACTTTGAATACCCTTTGAGTGTACATATATATTGATGTCATACCCTCTATATGTATTAACAACTGGCATTGATTTAAACATATAAGTACAAAAATGTATAGAGTTTGCATGTATATCATTCATGAAACATAAATAGTTTAAAATTCATAATAAAACAATAGCATACTTACAGGAGGACAATGTACTTGTCCATTCACAATGAGTATTTGATTCATTAATAAGAAATATTTGACAGAAAAATCAATGTATTGCCCTGACCAAAAAAGGCATTGAGGCACTAACATGAACTAGTTTGAATACAGTAGATCAAAACTTACATTTGATGACTTTGGAACAAAATACAGGGAGATTTGTGTTTTGAAGTAGAGAGATTGGGCTTGTTTTGGGACAAAGCAAAGAAAAATTAACTACTGTCATTGAGTTAAAATGGTAAAATATTGTAGAAACTAATATTTATTTAATGGTTTATTTTCAATTTAGATCTGCCTGACCTTTTGCCTGATTTAAAAGCAACACATGGATTTCTAATGATAAAACATGTAAAATGTCATAAAAATTCATGGAGTCAAAATGAGAATATTATCCATTATCTCAATCTGCAGTCAAACTTAACACAAGAGGCAAAACAAAGGGGTACATATTAAACAAGGGGAGATAATCAAACAAAAGGGTAAATTTTAATCAAGAGGAGATAATCAAACAAAAGGGAACATTTTAATCAAGGGGACATAATAAAACAAAGGGTACAGTTTAAACAAGGGGGGATAATCAAATCTTTTCAAAAGACTGAATGAGATATGAAAGTCATACAAAAAATCACATGACCAGCCTAGCTTAATCTTAAATGGACACATTCACATTAGAACCGCAGTGAGATTCTAAAGAGCATTCCCTACATACGGTAAATACCATAATACATTGTACCACAAAATACCCTCCTTCCTTATTTCTAATGGTTAAATTTTTGGAGGTTGAAAATTAAAAGGAAACATGCTAAGGGCAACAATGAGATTCTAAAATTAAACCTTCCAAAATAGGATCAAGGTCTTTAAGTGACCTGCAAATTTTGGATTGAGGATTATATCTGACTGCATAAATTCTGCTACTGCTTACACAAATCAACCTTCCGGAACCACAATAAAAAATATATCTCTGAATACTCCTATTCTGTAAATGAACTACATGTACCATGGACATTGATCTGAACTAAATATAAACTATACTATTTCATTTGAATGTATAACGATACAAAACATACAGGATTCCCTTCAAACACTTATAAATGTGGCATTAATCACCAGTGTTTATAACACCAACAGGTGACCAATGACAGAACACTGTTGTCAAAATGTTCTTAAAACTATTTGCTTTTTAACTTGAATTCATTTTATAGCAAGTTATATATACATTGTAGCACCATCTATATAACATTCACTTAATGATCATTAATTTTTCCAAGGATTGGTGTATTTTTCTCTAAGAATCTGCAAAATTATCTACACATGCTATCCTGACCTATATAATTTATAAATAGATGTTATTTTGATCAATATAATGTATAAACAGATTAAAGTATATAATTTCTTCTTTAATAAAATGTACTTACACATGTTACTTTGATCTGTACATGTTATTTCTGTCAGGAATGTTCAATTTAAAAAAAAGATTTATCTTTTGTTCATGTAGAATTTCAAAAATTATAGATTTAATCATCTCTCCAGAAGAGATTTCTGTATAGAGTTATCCACAATATTCCTCATGTGTTGCATTGTCTCCCTTGGGTTGTCGCTCTTCACTACAGCACTTCCAGATACAATCATATTTGCACCAGCCTATGCAGTAAAGAAAATTGCTGTTGGTTAGCAAGAAGTTTCTGTAAGTGCTGGCATCATAGGTAGTGTTTCTTCTCTTTGTTAATAAACATAATGTCTTTACTTCAAAAAACTTTACAGCAAATATATCACTTATTTCAATTAATATACAATGTAGAAATCATTGGCAACCCTGGATTTCATGTACATGTATAGTTAATACAATTTAGCTATATATAGCTGTCAGGCCCCCAACCCAACCCTCCTCCCCCACCCCATCCTACTGTAAAACTGGCCCCCAACCCAACCCTCCTCCGCCACCCCATCCTAC